TCATTGTATTAACAAATTGGGAGATAATTTTAGTGTTTACATTTACAGAACAATAAAAAAAGTTTAAGAAATCACCTTAAATGTTATTTTTTCGATCAATGTGTTGATTGGATTCCTTCATTTTTGAAAATATTTTGCTCACACATAAAATATCAAATTTAAAAAGAGTTAATTATATAATAAGAGTGGTATTTTTTTTATAGTAGACACTACATGTAGAGGTAACTATTGTCTTACAAGGAAACGTTGTTTTGAACCGGTTCTTTGTCATGTTTTCCGTCTTCTTGGCACTTTGACAAGCGTTTAAGTTGGCAGGAGGAAGGCGCTATTGCAAATTTGTCAAGGTATATTTTCAGTGAGATAACATGTTATCATATTTTCTGCTTCAATAATCAGTTTTTAAACGTACCTAATTAAAGATTAAATTTGTGCTTAGAAAAAGCAATACAAATATATGTATTTAATAAATAATTTATCTCATATCCCAATTATGTTTTGGATTGAATATTATTAAAATTTTATTTTACCTTGTATTCTTGAACAAATTGGTTATTCTCTCCTGTGCTCTTTTCCTTAATAACGTTCCGTAGATCTCCTATCTCAATATTCGTAATGAATTCAAATGTATTGTAATATCCATTGTCATCTGTTTGGTCCGTCCCAGGATTGCAGGCTCCATCAAAAAACTCTGTTTCATTGTCTGAAGAAAAAAAAACTATGTTTTAATTTTTTTTTAACCAGCACACAAATTTAAGTCTCAAGTTGATAACAAATATAACAAAAATAGTACGAGAATTCAATTTTGAATGCTTTCTGTTTTGTTTTACATCCACAGGTTTTTGTTACCTTGAGAAAATTGAACAGTTGATTCTTAAGAATAAGATTAATACGTTAAAACAACACGGGGTCTTGTTTTCTATAAAATAAATACAATAGTTTTATGTCTTGAATAAGTAACGACAATGTAAGTAAAGTATACCTTTTCCGCTATTGCCACTGAATCCTAGATGTTTATCATTTTCCACGAGACCCTCTTTACCACCATTGTTTTTGTGCCGTCTATAAAACCAAATAAACTAGATGTTTGGAAGATCAGTTTAATTTATAACAGAAGAAAATTGAAGACGGTACTTCTGTCTGATCAGAGAAAGAAGAAAATAAAAGCTATAATAAAACATTTGGAAATGTAACATTAACCTGTAAATTATTAATAACAGAACTCCAGCTAAAACTGCAATTATAACGGCTGGAATAGTCCCTCCGATGATGGCGGTATTATTTTCCTCCTCCTGTTGTATTGCATCTGAAGATAAAACGAAAAATTAATCCACCATTCCATTTTCGTATTGAAAAGAAACCAGCAGCTCAAACTATTTCTTTTTTTTAAAAGAACATATGTTTGTTTTTCGGGTTTGCTTAGTAGAAAATTACATATTATTATTTTATGATACAGGGTTTTCTGTTGATTTCAAATACTAAAGAGTTAAATAAGCATATTTCAGATATTTTTATGGCCCCGTAATTAGGTTTAAATTTTAGGTAAGAAGGTTTAAATTTCGATACCAACATATTTGATAAGCATTTGAGATATTTAACCTTTTTAATGGTGCCATAAGGTGCATCAGTGTTTCACAAATACATCCTGTTTTATTCAAAGAATACACATGTATATATGTGTTCTATAAATATCTTCCTTAATTTGCTTAAGGATGATGCAAAAAGTATTCGGAATAGCTTCTTTACTCCAATTTTTGTGGCTCATAATTCTTACTTTATCAAACAATTAAAAATAAGGGGTATATTCTCTCACCTTCAAGTAGTAAGTGGAGGTACTTTGATGCTGTTAAATCGTTATTATTTCTTTTTTCATAAATAAATTTGTTTATGCATGAAGCACACTAAATTGATTGTAATGTATGATTTCACAGAGAGTTTTTAAAGAATATTCTTTGAGCAAGTGGCATCTTGCTTAATAAGTTATAATCCTTGAGTGCTTAATATTTTGAATCTACCCAAAAGAAGACTAAGTTTAAAAGATTAACCTAATTTAAATCAAGGGCAGAAACATTATCTTTGAAAAATGCATTAAGAAAGACTTTTAAATGTTTTACCTTTACATAAGGGCCCATGCCAGTTTGTTTTGCAACCAGTCAAACAGGATCCGTTTTTCTTGTCACAAAAATCTCCAAGACAATTTTGGCACTGTGTACTGCAGTTTTCGCCATAAGATCCGTTAGTGCACTCTTTGAACGTTATAAAAAATGAGTTAACTCAGTATTTTCTATCGCCAATGTCTAAATGCAAATAGATTTTTTTTCTAAAAGCATTTGATCATAAGCAAGAAAAATTTTAAAATTTACTAAATATACATTACGAAATTTTAGTATTTTCTCAAAAGTCCCATAGTGACTCACAGTATCAAAGTTCTTATCTAAGGTTACAATAATAAACTTTAATTTACTCAAGTAAATTTAAAAAAAAAATAGAAAATGTAACAAATAATCATTTATTAATAAACATTCATACGATCTATATGAAAAAGAACTCTAAAATTTTCGAATTTGATATATTTTTAATAAGGTCAATTTATCAAAAATAGCACTTACGAAATGATGACTTTAAATGGGACTATTGATATACTTTTTCATCAACTTGTTCGTCACAAATTTATCTCGTTTCAAATTTGTACATTCGCACAGCATGTTCTTGCTTATCGAATTTACTGAGATATAAACCCCGTATGCAGGTATGTTGTTGCATAAATCAGGGAAGTTGACGAATGAAAAGTTTAAGTCATCTCGTCTATCAGAAATGGTGGTTGTTAGATTATCATTAACATCTTTTTCAAGTAAAATATCTTAATATGAAACAGAAGTGTCAAAACTCTATGACATCTGTAATTTTTTTTTCAGTTCTACGATAGACAAATTCAGCTTCATGGGAATACAAAAATAGGTTTGCCTAAAAAGGGGGTCGTTAGGGGGGGGGGCAATTGGTGGCCTCAGGCACCTTTGTAATGTCAACTTCATAATTAAAAAAATATGTATAGAGAAAGGAAACCTTACCTTGACACAAAGGCTCCTGCCAGTGTGGTGAACATCCATTCAAACAGGCTCCACTAGTCTTGTCACAAACTCCTGTAAGACAGTGTCCACACTGTCTGCTGCAGTCCCCGTGATAATTTCCATCAACACACTCTAAATGATTAATCTTATAATAACGTTGAAATAATATTTAACAGAAAGTATTTCTGTTTAGATTAGAAGAATTTAAAAAATGGAGCTATATATGTATTCTAAATGAAACTTGAAAAACTACAGTATTTAACTGTTGCAGAATGGAATTTTGCTTATTATTACATATCCTTAAAATGATTTGTCATCCTAAAATATAAGTTATGTCACAATTTCCAGCTTTGTAGGTTTAAGACAAAGTTTAAGAGATCTGCAAAGAAGTAAATACTTGCAATTATTTTAGAAATAAAAATAATTTTTTTTATTCGCCTACTTTTCGTTCGATTTCTCATTTCTTCAACGCTATTTATACACACAATAATTTATTGACACTGTAAAGTGAAAAAAAAAATATGAACAGTTTTACAAATGCAAAACCGTCATGTTAGATAGGATTGATTTAAAAATAAGAACAGAGATATTTTTTATTATACCTCTACTGATTTTTTTCCCTTTGTAAACGTTAGGCAGAAAAATATAAATAGTTCAATGAGCTAATCCCTGCTTCTCATGCCAATTTCTCGATAATGCATAATTCTGTAGATTTTACTTTTCTATATGTCTATGATATTGGACTCATTCCAGTGCGCAAGTCCAGAAGCTGAATCCCTGTCATTCGTACTCCTCTTTTTTTTAAAACTTTGGTATCGGTGGAATAAATCAATTAAAATGTATATCATTGAGAGAGTAAGCAAGATTCAAGTTCTCCTGAACCAGGTCTATTTCGCTCGGCTGCAACTCGGGATATTGTCCTGACCTTGGAATACTGGAATCGTGCTTACTTTCTAATAATTACATTTCATTATGTACACTAGGAGTCTATCAAAATAAGGAAATTAATTATCACATGACAAAACATTTGTTTTGAAAAGTAAAAAAAAAAATTTTCAATCATCATATACTGTAAAAGTGGTTATTTACACTGGTTGTTAAGTACGCGTTTGTGACTGTCAAACATTACGCGTGGGTATAATATACGCGGTCGCAGGAGTTACCGAGAAAAATTTACGCGGTTATCGATATCGTAACTAACAACGGGTTGTTCCCCTTTGAAAATGATAAGAAAAAACAAACTAAACAAATCAATAAGAATTTAAACTGTTGTATTGGTAAATAAATCGTCGATGTGTACAGTAAAATGCAGTGAAGTGTGAACAACCGGTGTACGCTTTATTGTAATTATCAAAGCAAGCTCAAACTTCAAAGTGAAATTTACTTACCTGTATCGGCTTGTCAAATTTTGACAATTAATTTAATAGGCATGATTGAAGTGACTGTAAGATTATTTAACATTTTGGACTAATCATTTGAAATTAAGAAAGGTCTAAACGAATATACAAAGGAAATGAAAATGAGTATCGATGTTATGAAGTTTTTATTGCGTGACGTTGCTTTAAAATATTAATATGAAAATGCTTTTTCATCGCACAAGTTACATAATAAACAGTTACGTTTTCATCACAGTTTGTGATATATCTATGTATTCACATGCGTTCAATACCACGATAAATATACGACTGGTTCAACCCGTCTAACAGTATTAATAATAATCTAGAAATATTCCAGAAGATTGAAATTTTGTAATCATACACGCGGGGGTATTTTACGCGGTTTTAAGCTTACCGCGTAAGTAGTGTAAATTTCCCCCACGCGTAAATAACCACTTTTACAGTACTCAAAATTTCCACTTGTATGTCAATATCTTGTAGTCTTATTTACGAAATGTTATTTAATTTCTGATTAAATTGGTTGCGATCATAAGATAATTATGATGGTCTGTATAAGTAGATGTGACAATTGTGAGTCATTTGTTCAAATAATGATGTTTTGCGTCTTCTTTGATCTGTCAAGCTGCGTCTTTCAACGCAATTTTGTACAGCACTTCAGATCAAGTTAATGTTATAACAATATATTGTATAACCTTCGGCCTAAACGGATAGGACAACTGTGTGCTTATAGGCATAAGAATGGATGTCAACGTAGCTTACATTTCAATAGTCTATTGAACAGGAAACCATGTACCGTATAATAGAAATTTTAGCGAGGATTTAATTTTGGCATTGATAGCGAGGGTGCCGAGATCGCTAAAATTGAATATTGCTAAAAATTAATTGCGTTTTATTTGTAATAGTTTCTTTAATATGCATTTTAAAATCGCTAAAATAGCATCTCGCTAAAAGTAAATTACCAGTTTTTAAGGAAAATCGCTAAATTTGCGTTTCGCTAAAATTTCCACTTATACGGTATACAGACACATTTAATAGTGTACAAATTATTATAGCCAAAAGGAGATAATCAAGCATTGACCCTGGATAAAGGCAATTAATAAACCTAATTAATCATCTATTTCTATGGATTTATATGAACATTTTCAAAATGATATCGTTGGGACTTGTGAAGAAAAAATCTTATAAATATAAAATGTAACTTACATAGAAAACCCTAAATGATTTAAGATACGTTTGAGACAATTAAAGTCAAAGATACACAAGTCAGAGATTAAAGATCGCAAATATATATTTTCCCCCAAATTAAGAATGATCTGGATTTACATAATTTTTTAACGAGGTAAAATTTTAAAAATAATTTACTTTCACCAGAAAACAACTTCAGATTGCATATATACTCATTGCAACATTATCTGTATTAAATCAAGATGGTAGAAGCATTTAATTTGATTTGATCTGATCAGATATTTACTCAGCAAGATCCCTAGTGGAAAATATAAATAAATACATTGAATACAATACTTCTGCTGTGATATTTCACATTTCTACCTTGACACAAAGTTTATTTCCATTTCTGGTTTAAAACCAGATAAACAACTTCTATCGTTCTTTCTCTTTTTGTTTATTTCATAATAATATTTTTTCATATATAATTACAAAAATGCACATCCATCACACATTCTTAATTAAAAATTTACCTTGACAGAGAGGTTCTTTCCAGTTCTGTTTGCAGCCAGTTAGACAGGATCCGTTTTTCTTTTCACAAAATCCTTCTCGACAATGTCCACACTTGCTATTGCAATTCTGGTCATACATTCCGTCCCTACATTCTGAAATGGATCCAACCTTTTAAAAATTAAGAATGTTAGTCATTTTGTTAAATCAGATGAGAATCGTAGTTTCGTTATTTAATGGGTATAATAAAACATTTTCTTTACGTTGCTGTAGTTTTACTAAAATATTATCAACTTTTGCTATTAAATCCTTTGGCAATTCTAAGGACAAATAATTCCATGTATAAACTAGTGATAAAGTCAAGGACAAAACATAGTAAAATGAAATTAAACACCATTCATCCCTATTCCTTGATAAAAAAAAAAAGCATTTGAATATCAAAGGATTCATAAATATGCTATAGATCCAAGAAAGTAATTTGAAATACCTTTAACCAAATGGTAAAAAAAAATTGTTACCTTGACATAAAGGTTCCTTCCAGTTTGTTTTGCAACCATTTAAACAGCTTCCATTGTTCTTGTCACAAAATTTACTTCGGCATTCACCACACTGAGTACTACAAATCTGGTCATAAAATCCGTCAATACATTCTAAAATTATTAAAAAAAAAAATTAATCCAAATGTACCGTGAATTATTCAATATACAGTTGTAACTCAGTATAATCTTGATTTGCAACATCATGATTGGGCCACTGGATAAATGAAGTAGTAAACCAATGATTAAAGTATATTTATTCATAAAAGAAAGCGTGAAAAGAAAAGAAAATAACAGTAAAAATGAGATTTAGAAACTATTGTTGTATGAGATCTTGATTAAATATACAGTACATTTATCATAATTTAGTTATATTTCTATATAATTATTAATTTTCATTCATTATTATTATAAGCTTAAATTTTTATTATTATTGAAAAATAACAACAATTTAAGTAAATGTCGGTGTTTATGTTAGAGTTTAAGGATATGTGAACCTGACAAAAAAGTAATTGGAAAATTATAAAATGGGTATCAACAGATAGAGGACAAGTTCCGTGATCAAAGACCAACAATTTTGATATATGTACATGAGTTCGTTTCCATGGCAACAATCCCTTTTGATGCCGTAATTTCGACCCACAATGCATCACTTGTTTTAACTACGTTCTTGCGAGAAATACGGCAAATGTTCAACAAAAAGTTTAATACTCGCCTATATTTAATGGATATATGTTTAAGATAAATTGTAAATAGAAAATGAAACGTTCTTCATTAACTTTCAGGACTGTTTTCAGGCTTTTTCTTTGTATTGCAACTTACATACGACGTCATGTGACGTCAGAGTCTAGACGCACCAAATGTCACGTGCGGTTTGACGAGCCCGATCTAAATCAAAGCGACAGAAGAGTTTGCGCTCGCTCTAACGGTCGCACCGTCAACATATTATAATTGGAAATTTTATTTTTTTATTTCATTTTAAAGAAGAGATGTTAAGTTATGTGAAACAGGGAAAAAAATGGTATGTACATGAATTGGATAAAAAGATATGTTAATCTGAATTTCCTCTGGCCTTCTTTCAAAAACTGACTGTAAAGCACATTTATCTGAAATAATTGCTAAAATATCAATCAAAAAATTATCTAGCTTAATTTTAAATAAATAATATGTTAAAATAGAATTAATAGTCATACATGCTTATTCTTTTTAATAGATAAAGTATCTAGTATGCGCATAATTACAGTCTGAATTTCCTCTGGTCTCTTAAAAATTCCCTATTTTTTTCTCAATATTCACTGTAAAAATTTATAAAATCACACTTGATATAATTGGAAATTTAGTTTTTCAATTCCATTTTAAAGAAGTGATGTTTAGCTTTGTGAAAGCGGGAAAAAATTATTATGTCCATGAATTGGAAAAATAGATATAATAATCTGAATTTCCTCTGGCCTTTTTCAAAACTTGACCTTATAAAACACATTAAACTATAAAAATCGCGGAAAAATCAATCAAAAAAATTATTTAGTTTAATTCTAAACATAAAACATGTTAAAATAAAAATTGAAATTCATACATGCTTATTCTTTTTCGTAAATCAAGTATCTTATAAACACATAATTAGTCTGAATTTCCTCTGGCCTCTTAAAAATTGCCTATTTTTTCTCAACCTTGACTATAAAGATTGTTATAAAATCCCACTTGATATAATTGGAAATTTAGTTTTTCAATTCCATTTTAAAGAAGTGATGTTTTGTTTTGTGAATGAGGTATAAAATTGGTTTGTACATGAAAAAAAAAGATATGATAATCTGAATTTCCTCCGACTTTTTCCGACTTTTTTTTCCAAAATCTGACTTAAAGCACATTTGTATGTGATGATGGCTAAAAAAATCAATAAAGAAATTATTCAGTTTAATTTTAAATATATACGGTGAAACTCGGTTTAAATTAAGTCACTAAGACCCATAAAATCACTTCGCTATATCCACAATTCGTTATATCCATGTAACAATTTCATTAAATTTATATAGCTGAGGATCTAAAAAAGTTCGCTATATCAATGGATTTGCTATATCCATGTTCGCACTAAACAAATTTTGCTGTAACATGTTTAAATAAATATTATAAATAAATGAATTAATAAAATAATCTTTATTAAGACTAAGTCCTTAAATAATTATATCATTATTCACATCCCGATTTCCTATATTTCATAGTCTATTTCATGCAATAAGGTTTATGTGAACAGAAAAAAGGTCAGACAATAAAGCTGACATTACAATGACATACTTTAGTACAGATCTAATTGCCAATGTAATTAATATTAAAATGTACAACATATGGAGATATTAGACACCAGTTAAAAATAAAACACTTATCAATAAAGAGAAATTTTGTCCTAGTCAAAGAGAATTATTTCTTTAACCTTGACAATAGTTTCTACATGCATGTACAGTCTGTTCTATAAAAGCTAGCTTTCCTGTCATAATGAATTCTTTTCTTTGCCTTTCAACTGCAAGCTTTTTTGGTAACATACTTTGTTCAAATACCCCTGGTAATGATCACTGTAGGTGTAGTAGGTCTTTTCTGAAGCAAATAGATCAGCCTTTGCTTTGTTTGTATGCTGTGTAATGTCCCTCTCAAGAATTTTTTTCACTCATATGAAGACGCTACCACTTGCTGGTGGAGGGCTGCAGCTTTAAACCTATACTCGGTACTTTTGGCCATTGAGTTCTGAGGGATCTTTTTGATGCCAAAGTCTACTGCAGCAGGGGAACACAGTTTATACAGTCTCATCCAAAGGACTGGCCTCCACGTTCCACAGTGCTCCTTACTTTAAGACAATTGAGAGCTGCTCTAACAACTGCGCCATGCAGATTTCAGGCTTTGACACATGAATATGATTCTTAGCCTGGAAAATAAATTTCATTTTAGTTTTAAACTTCATGTCTAAATGGTGTGTACATGGATATAAATAGTAAACATGTAAATAAGTAATATCTATTTAAAACTTGGATTGTTACTTTATTGTCAATCATTTTATGAATTTGAGACCATAGAAGTTTCCGATGCATGAATTTATAAGGTTTGACTACTAGACTATTGAAGTTTCAAAATGTTATACAACTGGACTTTCTATAATCATATTAGAAAGTTACATGTAAATGGAGGACCATTTGATTCTGAAAATAGATATTGGGATTAATCTGACCTAAAATATTGAACTGAAATATATACATACAATGAAGATTTTTTCCCCTCACATATAAGTTTTTAGTGAAACGAAATAATCTGTCATAATTTGTCTCTTCTGATCTTGGAAAAAAAATAATTCTGTCCATATCAAAAGCAAAAAATTAAATACACCCCCTTCATAGTTCACACCACCACAATCAGAATCAAATGAATGATCACTCCCTCATTTTTTAATCTAAAAAAAAAACAATTTTTTCATTTACTCCTACCCATTCTAGTGTTTGCAACACACAGAGATCTTTTCATACATCAGATTCCACAGGAACAGCTATCTAGAGTTGAGTAGGTGGAAAATTTAAACTGCTGACATATGTTGATTCTTTTCCTTCTCTATACCTGTTCAAATAACAAATCAATTACAAAGTTATTCAATTTTGCAAGAATAAATTGGTCAACATTTTACAAACACCTTTTGATCATGTCTATTTAACAATGAAATGCCATATCTTAAATAGTGCATCATTTTATAATAAGGCAAATCTTGCACTGCACAGACTATAAATTACATAGTGTTTTAGTGACAGGGTACGGGATAATACCTGCTTAGTAAATTTCAGACCTGGCGAGGCGGAGTCGAGTCTACTTACTAGGTATCATCCCGTACTCTAGATCTGTCACTAAAAAACTATGTAACGAATTTACCCCAGTGATGAAACATTTATGTATTATCTGTGGTTTGTAAATGTTTTTTTCTCTGCTACATGCATTATCACGCTTATATTGTGCATATTATGACATTACGTTGTGTTTGTTTTGTAATGTTGTGTTCGTGCTAAAATAATGAACTAAACAGTTCAAAGTGTTCCAAAATAATTTTACATCGACTTGGTATTGATTTACAATTGACTGGGTATAAATAATCTACCTCCTTCACGTGACAGACTCCAAACAATCGTGAGTCAGGATTTCGTTGAATAATCAACAGAGGTGGTGTAAATACATATTATGTATGTCAAACTGATTTGTCTATAATGTAATTTGGTTACTTGGCCAGCAAATTGCTATTTCAGTATTTGCCTTATTTGGTAATTTGACACTGGTAAACAAAAAGTAAATCCAATAAATAACTTATAAAAATTATTTCAGACTATTTTAAAACCGTGTAATTTTATTGGATCTATCTGTGAAAATTGTGCAAATTTTCCATGTTTTCTGTAATATTCGAATCATTGTTGATCCCGACTGGAGACAGAAAATACATTGAATTTCGAAGATGCTATAAAGTTATAAATTATAACCTAATAATAAATAAATGTATAAGGTGTCAGGTGAACTCCGGTTATCCATCTGTTTGGTGTATGTTCATTCACCAGTTAGTTTAGACCTAATTTTACTTACGTGAAAAACAATGAAGTATATGTACATCGTGAAACTGCATTCGGGGTGACATCGCTTGTACAGTTGTTACATGAAACCGAACGGCACCAATATGTATATTTTTGTCTTTATAACCGTATAATCTATTTTCGGCGTATAAACTGATTTTTTCATTGCAAATGTATCGTTGCCACCTTCTCTACAAAACATGGCGTCGCAAAACGGCTAGGGTGAAATGGCGTAAATTATCGCGGTTGCAACAGACAAACAGCCAAAATTAATAAAATTCATGCAAAGTTGATTTAATTTGGCTTTATTTTACTATGTGACGCTGTTAAATCCTTTAAACTTCTGTTTTAGCAAAATTATATGTTCTATGATCACGACATTGACCGTTCCCATCTTCCGCAGTTCGAGTTGCGCGGTGGATTCAAAAACGTCAGGTTCACAAATCCTTAATGAAACCTTGCCTTGACATAATGGTTCTTGCCAGTTTGGTGAACATCCACTCAGACAAGTACCGTTTGTCTTGTCACAAACTCCTGTAAGACAGTGTCCACACCGTGTACTGCAGTCCTTGTCATAAAATCCATCAACACATTCTAAAAATGAAATTATAAAAAAAACAATTTAAAAAAAATGTGTGTATAACTTTTTCACTTATTATATATGTTCTCATAAATTTCATGTACAAATAATATTGATCGTGTATAATACGAAATAAATTCCCTGTCAATGCCTCAACTAAATGTCCGGTACGGCAATGAATGTTTTCTTAGATGTCAATTTATCATTAGCATGTATGTTCTGTCATAAAAAGGAAACCATTAAAAACTCCATTCATCTAAGATTCACTTTGTGCAATTCATCTAAGTATAAACATTTAAAGACTATTCTAGTATTATGTTTACCTTGGCATAATGGTTCACTCCAGTTTCCATTGCAACCAAATGGACAAGATCCATTTTTCTTGTCACAAAATCCTTCTAGACAATTTCCACATGGGGTACTGCAATTCTGATCGTAATATCCATCAACACATTCTGTAATTGACACAGGTTAATTTTTTTTTAAAAATTATAATAGCTTTCCTAAGTATTCCAAGCTGTATCTTTCAGTTTCATACACAGATAATCACATAAGGCTTATAGCTTACGAAAATATACTCAAAAATCCCACAGTTTGTTAAAGAACGAAGAATTATTTTTAAGTGTCATATTAAGATGCCCAACTTATTATTTTTGATAACTAATTTATCATTTGGCATTTTTCCTAGCATTTTATAAAGAGCAATTTTTTTTAAAATTTATGTTGTTATGTGTTTAAAAGGTACTTATTGACTTATTGACAATTTCTTTTCACATGTTAAAAACTATGTTTTAATATACGCCTTATTATCGTTACCTTTTACATTTTTGATGCTCTGTTTCTATTTACATCATAATTAAAAAGGCAAGTACTGATTGTTTTTATTCAAATTTGTAATTGTTTTCAAAATAAATGTTAACTTAGATTTTATCCAATGCTTGAGTGTATAGAGGCTTTATATTTAGGTATTCAATACATAAAAGGCATTGTGGAATTATTTTCATGGCTTTTCATGGTTAATGCCTTGTCATGGTTATCGCCTTGAGGATTTTTTTTTCGATGTTTGGTTCGATACCATTGTAAGTTAGACATTTCAATCAATTTCAATAAAGATTGAAATAGGACATTTAAGAACCGGAAAGGATTAGCACATTTAATTTTTTAATCAATAATGACAGCTTATTTTTTATATCACTGAGATGATTGTTGTCGGTTTCATTATACAAATATCAATAACAAGGATCAGCAAACCGGAACAACCACAGCACTCTTCTTTTTTTTTTTTTTTTTTTTTTTGCTATTTTGAGACTATTTACTGAAAACGAGAGTAGACTTTTAAAATTACGATAATTACTTTGCGAGTGAAGTCTGAATATAATTTTCGGGCATCACCTTATACTTATACCGTATTCTAAATGGGTCAAGGACATAGGACGAGTAAGCATCTCCAGTTGACGCTTTTTCCCCGCCCTCTGTTAGCCCTCTGTCTCGATCAGGAATACATATATATATAGTCAAAGGAAGCAGAAAAGTAGTGAAAGAATGAATCTTTTTAAATGATAAGGAAACATACGACCTAACTATTTATTGTTTTAAACTACAAACAGTCGATTTATAAGTAAAATAAGTATGCTTAATTTGCAAACAGTCATTCATACGTAGTTAAATTATAGTTAATTGTTATAAAAACAAATAACTAAAAATTATCAGCATTTACCTTGACATAATGGCTCTTTCCAGTTAGGTTTACAACCAGACAAACAATATCCAGTTGTTTTATTACAAAATCCTTCTCGACACTTCCCACATTGACTACTGCAATTCTGGTCATAGTAACCGTCAACACATTCTATAATATTTATTGTGTATTTCTAATTTGCAGATACTCGCAGTATTTTTTAAAAAGGATTTTTTTTAAATTCTCTTTAACATATATTTTTCAGCTTCTGTTTATTCAACGGGAAAGAAACAGATACGGCCTTTTGTAAATATAGAAACATATCGTACATGTATCATGAGCTGGAATATCTACCTTGACATAAAGGCTCTTTCCAGTTAAGTTTGCAGCCTGATGAACAACTTCCGTTTTTCTTGTCGCAATATCCCTCTCGACAATTTCCACACTGGGTACTACAAGTCTGGTCATAATAACCGTCCACACATTCTATAATTGAAAGAGTTTGTTTCTTTCCTTATGAATTGCAGATATTAGGTTTCTTACAAATATGATACTTTTGTTTCCTTGGTTTTGTTATATCTAATTTAAATAAGATTCTAATGCAAATACTAAAAAACTGTATATTTATGAATATTGCACGATGATCATGATAAGTAAAACTAAATAGTTACCTTGACATAAAGGCTCTTTCCAGTTTTGTTGGCAACCAGATAAACAACTTCCGTTTTCCTTGTCACAACGACCTCCTAGACAATTACCACATATCGAACTACAATTCTGGCCATAGTAACCGTCAGCACATTCTGTTAAAAGGAACGTTCTTGGTCAATCAGTTTTAAAAGAACATTGTTTACCCTTTTCAAACTGAGAAACCTTTATATGTTTTATGTTTTATCCTAGGGACCTCCTCAAGGATCTAGTTTTGGAATGTAAACGAAAAAGTAATGTTTTACTTATATCTTGTTTGTAGAGCCTAGTGTTGCATTCGAGCTTTACAATATGGCATTGCGGAGAGGTTTTTTGTAAGGATTTTTTTTTATATATAAAATAGTTATTTGTCAATTTAAAAAACGTAAGTTTGACAAAATGTTTTTTAATATAATAAGAGAAAAAAAAGATATTAAAGAAAAATAAGGTAACGTTCCCCACGATGAATTACAGTCCTGGCATTTTATATCATTGACAACTATTTTATCTATAAAAAGGAAATCATAAATTTATTTACTAAGTTTGACATGATTTGATGATCCCAAACTGAACAAGGCTTAGAGATTTCGAAGGAGTGTTTCAACAATATTTTACTGTGATAAACATTTTTACTGAAACTTTGACTAAAGATGCAAAACTCAGACTCTTACATTTTAGTGAGGAAAATAACCATAGTTTATCGATGAATGCATGTAAAACAAAAAAGTACATGTATCATATATTTCAATGAGGATAAGTAAATGCGATTGCCATGGTAGGCTTGACTATCGGTAAAGATAACGAACGCAGATCGATCAACAGAACTTAAAATCAAAACCGATAAAAGGATAGCTGAAAAGGCTATAAATAACTGACCTCTGGGAAATTCCAGAGGATCAACTTCATTGGAGGACTCATCGTAAATAATATACATACACACCTTTACAAAGGTCCCCGCTCCAGTGTTCTTTACACCCAGATGGACATCTTCCCGTTCCTTTGTCACACACCGTGCCCACCTGACAGTGGCCACATGGTTCGCATCGATCATTAAAAGCATAAGTCCCGTCATCACATACTGACACAAAGTAATACATATAAATTATGTACATTTCTAGGAAACAAGTTCTTAATATGATATGTGATAAATGAGGTAAAATCAATTAATAAATATTAGCAGTATTTAACATAAGACACTTTTTCTAGATAAACAATGTATGGAAAGGCAGAGTCATGTTTAGAATTTATATTTTTAGTCGTCGTTTTATTGATTGATTTTTATTAGTCATATCTTCGAAATAGCATTTTCATCCATATTAAAACAATATTGCTGTTACTGATTTTTTTTTTTTTGCTCATATTTTTATAACAGATATGTGATTCGTGTATTCTTACAGAAAATTTCTCACATATTTTTTATGAAAAATTGGATTAAATTTCAAAATCGATTCCAAGGATATTATTGTAAAATGAGTATCTATACATTAAATAAAGCTTACATATACAATCTATGGACACAGCACCAGGATCAGAACAACCATGAATACATGATCCGTTAAAAGCATCACAATGTTTGTCCTTACATTTAGTGCTGCATAGCTTAATGCATCCAAAATGATATCTAATTTGATCACAACCTGCAATAAAGGGGGAGAATATAATTAGTCATCTATTCTGAAATAATTCTATCCAAGATTTCTTTCCAAGATGTAAAATACAACATATATACCAGAAACATATAAATCCAGAGGATTCAAAATTCTTTTGATCATTCTAATGTCTAACCAAAAAAACTTATATTTAGATTGATTGATTGTATATTGTTTAATGTCCCTCTCGAGAATTTTTCTATATAGAGAAACCAACACTTTCGATGGAGAGCTGTTTTTTTTCCTTTACTGGGCAATCAGGGTATTGAGCAGGGAGGGATTTTTTTCGTGTCAGCACCTACTGCAACACGGGATCTCAGTTTATACGGTCTCAGCCGAAGGACCGGAATCCACGTCCCACAATGGGATTTGCACCCGCTACGTAACGATTAACTTTTGACCTAGCGACTCTATAGCAGATGCTCTAACCACTGCCCCACGTGGCCGACTATAAAACATTTTATGAATATTATATTTTCAAATTTGACTTACCCATCACTCTTACTTCGCATATTTCAATTGAGGTCTTTATTGAGTCTGTTTCTGAACAACCTGAGGTAAATCCATCTGGTCTTTCGTTAAAGAAGGCTACTCCTTGAGCTATTTTATTTACGGTGACGTTCTGGAGAGACGCTGGACATCCTGACATAGGATTGTGGTGATGCACAAGTCTCCCTGTGTCTCCAGTAGGAGGCTCATAGGATACGTCATCGTAGATATATATGGAAAAACCAGTTGCCCGACCCGTCGCTAAAAAGAGATATTTTAAAAGATATAATCAAGAAAAAAATATTTTTTTTAAAAAACAAGAATTGTCGAATCAATGAAAGTTGACACTCGATCATTTCATTCAAAGCTGAAATTAAGTGCGTATTTACTCGCATAACTCTACATTGAATTGTAAATAATGTATTTAAAAAATAAAGCTGATGCAATAATGATTATAATTCAAGATGCTGAGTATCAATGTTTGTTACAGCACTTTTATATGTAAGACCATTGGCATTAATATTCATAATTTTTTTAATTATTTCTTTGTAAATTACTTATCATCTTGAAACTGAAGCTAATTATTATTATTAATAATAATGAATCAAATACAGTAGGAAAATAGACAAATATCCTAAAAATATAATTTTCAAATCCCTAAAATGATATTCTCTTTTACTTTTGTTTCTTTTGCTTTGTACGAATACACGACCATGATCATATGCCATTGATATCAAAAGAACTATGTTGTTCATTTACGTGGATCATTTACGTTAAACAGGAATTTTGATTAATTGAATTATATATTTATCATGATGATTATGTTGTTTATTGGCTTCATCCAACATGTCTTTGTTAACATGTCAGTGAAAGAGAAAATGGCCTTTTGACACGGTAAGAATGTACCTTAGAAGATTGCTTTATCCTTAGCTAAGAATTACCGAGCATATGGCTTAGAATTTTTATGAAACAGAAATTAACAATCATGTTACTCTGCCAAGAATATGCAAAAAAACAAAAGCACAGACTTTATAATTACAGATGTTCAGGTGCCCTGAAGAAATATTTTTCTTTTTTGTTTCACTTCAGATAAACAGAAATTATAATTATGAAAAAAGGTTGCATTAATTAATTTTACATGTTTTCTGATGTCGAATTTTTATTTCTTTAATAGACACTACCCCCTTTAAGATGATTGATCCGCACAAAGCATTTATTTGTCCTAGATAAACGGTTTTACACATGTTACCTTTACCGGTCATTATTTAAAGATCTATTTTCAAAAGGAATGTATTCTTATCATACGCTACAATCAATATTTTCATAGTACATTTAAAATTAACGTCTAGGATATCAAGACAGACATAGAGGTTCATAATAACATGTTTGTAGCGGTCAAGAAAATATGAACAAAATACATGTATTTACCAAGATTGCATTTATCATTGAAGTTTCATTGGAATTTGTAACATGCCTAATAACTTTTGATTTCAGACTTAGTTGTGTCCTATATAGCTATATGTATAGTGAATAGTAATTATCTGTCCTTGTTGAATTCTACTTCATGAGTAATAAATAGATGTGTTTTTAGATTTGAAAATATGTATCAAAAGAAATAAGCATATTACAACAGAACAAAGAAGACCCTGAATACCTACTTCCATCTCGCAGGTAGACATCCAAATATGCTATATTGAATTTTCTGTTTAACCACACTTTCCACCATACTGATCTATAATTATTAGCGTAGGCTGCAATTGCACAAGTAGGAAGGTACGTTTGATTCGTATTACCATCTACCGCTTTCTCAGCAGTCCAGTCGGTGGTGCCATGAGGAACAACATTCCAAGACGCAGTTCCCTGTAGTGACTGAGCAGGTGTATGTGCCAAATTAACTGTAAATTCATTTCGTTTAGAAAGTATTCATTTGAAATTAATTTATAATGAACAATCACTATTGCGCTTTTTAATGATTTATATTTAAGTACGTAAGTTCTAATAGATTAAAGATTCTTTACAAACTGCAAATATCTACTTTCGTATAAGACAAGGTAGATTGTTAGATACTCACCAAATCCTGAGATCTTTGGTAAAGTGTGTATAAGAAAATTCACCAAGATCGCTTCCAACCACATTGTCCTATATTTTGAATAAAATGTTAGGCGTCACTCTACTTCCTGGTTGACAGTGGGAAGTGGATTTAATTTATTGATGATATTACCTGGTAAAACGAAACGAGACACATAGCAGAAGATATCTATGTAAATAAACTATTAAAAAGACAGATTTTAAGTCTATTAAAATATTTGACTTCCATTAAAAACAACGCTTCAAAAGCAACAGAAATATATTCACATTTTGATTTGAAACAATTTTAATTGACGTCACTGTCAAAGAAATTAAGTATTTTTTTATATATACATTTGTGGTATCTCTCTATTATGTAAACATACAGAGAGAAAATATCTTCAATTCTGTATGAAGTTTGTCAGAGGTCAGAGGTCAATACGTGACCTAATCACACGGCGCAATAATATCTACCAGTACATAAATTATAAAATGACCTGCTCTACTTGTTTTTCATGTACAAAAATGAACAAAATAAGCAAGTAAAATGATAATTATTTTATTTACATTGTAAAAAAGTATTTCAGATTGTTGGCTATCGATTTAACCTGTGTACATAGAGAAAACTAACACGTTAGGGGCCTTAAGGCCTAGCGTTTGTTTACATTTTTTTTTCACTTTTGTCAGCTGCGCAGTCTTTAACGTTCATCCTTATTTTTTGGGTAGACCTTTCGTTAAATTTTCATGATAAACTATTATTTTATCTTTAAATTCTACTCACGATAAATGTGTAAATCTGTTGGAAAATATCATTGCAGTCATGCCATGAACAGCTGCCAAACACAGATACATTTCGTAGTTCAATGTTAACATGGTAAAGCTGTAGCCAGTGTCTCCGTGTTTATCAGTGTTTTACAATAAGTATGCCTTTAGTTACTGAAATCGTAGAATGTTTTTGCTCAAACTGCAAATTAACTGGCTCGGACAAGTGTCTCAATCCATCGGATCCATCCATCCCTTTCCGGCGACCGAAATTCCTCCAACTTTTTATCGTCAAACTTCGGACGTGTTTCTTGTGTCTTTTCAGCATCGATTATCAATTTTCATGAATAAAAATATTCCCAGACAACAATCTGTTCACTACTACTGATCACAAGTAGCCTTTCACAAAATATTCCCTTCGAAATAGATTCCTTAGCCTAATGCATTCGAAGCGTAACCGCCATGCAAGCCGATTTACACCTTGCGTCATTTTTCAAAATCTACGACGGACGGTTAGTGCAATAATTTAAATTCGAAAATATTCAATTGTCTGTCTCAAATGTATATATAAGTAATAAATAACAAGTTTATAAACTTCAATGGGAATTGAAGTGGGTCGGTACGTGATCAAATCTTCTGAGAAGGCCTTCGGCCTTCACAGGATTTGATCACGTGACCGACCCACTTCAATTCCCATTGAAGTTTATAAACTTGTTATTTATTTCTTAATTAATTAACAGGACATTAGAAATAAGCGAAGTTCAAATTAAATGACTGGCTGTTTGGGTTTCTTTTTTAAGTGCGTTCATTACAAAAATATTGCAGTTTTAATTTTCCTAAAATTAGATTTTAAAAAAGATATTATTTTAAACGAAGACATTATCACTAATATTATATTCTCGACTTTTCCCACATATAGGACACATCTGCAATATAATGATAACTATTATCAGTAGCCTCTTGACGTCTTCCGCCTGTTTAAACAAGACACATAAGATATATTAATTGATTTTTAGAATATTCTTTACAAACTTATAAGCATTTTGGTTATTTATTTTCTCATATGGACACATAGATACATTTTTCCATATTTTATTGGTACCCCTCTTGCAGACAATTGATATACCTAGCAATTATTTTTTCAGGTAAATATAGCGTTTGAAGCCAGTTCTAAAGTACATGTACCAATCATTTTTTAAAAACAATATTCCGAAAAGGTAAAGGTAAAGGAAATATAGGGTAAGAAAAGAGGGAAAGGGAGATATTATCAAAATAGGGAAATTTCAGCAGTACATGTACATTGTACATGCATAATCATTCAAAATTCAGAGTGCATTTCACTTAAATTATGTGTTCTTGGTTTTTTATCTTCCGGGTCTTATCATCATAATTTAGGGTGCAGCATTAAATCAGTGTAAGGAGATAAGATACACATATTGGAGATGGCAATTTTAACACAGCAATAAAATCTCATTGGTTCAGCACTTGACAATCGTTGATTTATGAATCTGATATTGAAAAAGCAAGAATATCCGTATATATCAAAATTAATTTTAGACGTCGTGCAATCGGTAGTAGTGTTCTTGTAAGAAAAATAAAAAGGTTTTCATCATGTAAGATATTAATTTTTTTTATTATACTTTCATGTTAAATACTACAATCTGATTGGTTTAGACGCAGTTAACAATTTGTTCTATTACCCTCAGCCGTAGCAACACACGTGGCAACGAGTAACACAACGGTAATGCGCCTACGGTTCACCGTAGAATTCTCAAAACGTCAGTTGCGCGTTTGAAAGAACCGGAATGAACTTGACGTCAATAAAAGCTTGTCTCCAAAGTATCTTACTTGAAAACAACAAACGACAGACGAAACATGCTTGAGAGTACAGAAATAACGAACCTTTAGATGATAAAGGACTCTTAGAGTATCAAATTAACAATAAAGAGGTCAGTAAATCTTTTTCGAAGAAGCGGGGAGTTTGACAGCTTTCTAAACGTGAACGTAAAGACGATCGACGATTTTTTTGCTGACATCCTAAATCAAGAAGACATTCAGTATAATAAAATAAATGGTGCCTGTTTTGGAGGGTAACAGTTAAAATTGGCATTCCTCGGAAAACCATTGTCAACCTCCGCTGACGCGTCGGTTGACAATGGTTTTCCTTGGGGTGCCAATTTCAACTGTTACCCTACAAAACAGGCACCATTTATATATTATTACTGAATATAAAAGTTGGAATGAAGTTTTTATTATGACGTTTTGATAAAATATTCCATTCATATATTCCAGGAAGTAGACATATTCTGAAACATTACGGTACTTTACATAACTGACGACATCCATGGTTCTTAAACTTTCGAGACATGCTACATGTACTCACTGATACTTGATGTTACAAAAGTTTTAACAATCTAAATTAAATTTGCTATTTCGTAAATTTGATGAAAGTGTTAATTATCTTGTTAGCGAATAATATAACTGCATCGTATTTTGGCTAAGGGTGAGGACTTTTTTAACTGAATTGGCTAGTGAAATTTTCTTATATCTGAGTAATTTGTAGAGCTCATGGTAAGTATGACCGGTCAACAGGGGATTCATGCTCCACCTTCTCAGTCGATTCTAACTCTGATTTTTCATTGGTCCTTCTTCACGTCTTCTTCACATATGCGTATCGTTTATAGATATTATTTTAACATAAGATATCAATTTTCACCTTGCACACAACGTTCTATACATTTCTTTATCATCTCATCTTTTCTATTTGAATGTAATCTACAGTAGTTGGTCATATTTTAGTTCCAAAAATGACCTCTTTCAATAAAATAGGGAAAGCCTGATGAAATGTAAAATTTAAATATCCAAACAAAACAAGCACTTGCTAATAGTTATTTATATCCTATTATGTTTTCTTTTATCTAAGTACGGCACCGACTTTCTTTGGGATACCTTAATCACAGTTTTTATAAAATGTGAATCAAAAGATGCCAAGATGTCAGTCACTTTATTTATCTTTCAAGATCTATCTGACGTATTGTTAATTTATTCGCCGATTTATACGATTATTATCTATTTTAAAAACTTTCGAAACATATTTTATTATGTGCATATCTGGCATTTGTGCAGGCCGTGGTAAAATTGGAATAGTTTTATCTGCTTTCTAAATGCCTTGATACGTGGTACATGTAAAAGCATATCTTTCTTTGAAATATCCAAACTTTATTTCTTTGGTACGACTTGCCACAAATATCTCCCTTACGTTTAAAAATAAATATTGGAATTTATGATTACATTATCAAAGGCAGAGATTTCATACCGGGTGGAAAATTTCATGTGATGGAGGAGATTATTTTGTGCATGTGTGAATGCCTTTGGGCTAGCAGTCTTTCTGTGGTGATCTGTCTTCCAATCCCTATACGCAGGAAGTGATTTAAAACACGGAGAAATACCCCAGGTGTCAAACTTCACCTGTATTTGGGATTTTGAATTTTTTTTTAAATTTTCTTTATCTTTATCATATTTCTCAATATTTAGAAAAATTGGCCTTATACAGTTTTATAACGTTGCATGTATGCAAAGCAAATTCTTTCCAATTGTTACATAACAAATATAACTATCTGTCCTTATATTCTTCATGACATCACATACTTATACATTTTATGTCACAAATATTACTAATGTTGATGACAGAACACGATTAAAATCCATCCATTCAAATACGAAAATGTTTCCAATTGCTACATCACAAATATAACTATCTGTCCTTATATTCTTCATGACATCACATACTTATACATTTTATGTCACAAATATTACTAATGTTGATGACATAACACGATTAAAATCCATCCATTCAAATACGAAAATTTGATTAAGATTGTAAACATACGTAATATTAATTGTTTTGTCGTTGCATATGGAATTTGTTTCATGAGTTTAGAAAAGATTTTCTGCAAAACTAATCGAAATGAAAATTTCCTAGGCAAGAAATAGATCCTGTATTCAACTACAAAACTATTTGTTATAACTTTTATGATTTCCCCTTTCCTTCTGTCTTTTTGTATTT